GCACTTGTTTGATAGGAGATGAGAGATGGCATTCATAAAAAATAGCCAAGAGCCAAACTATTATTATTTATTATCCTTTGTTAGCCACTTTGAGCCTTTGGTTTGATTCTTAAAAAAAAAAATATTCACCCTATTTTTCCCCAAGGAATGCATGTTACACTTTTATATGTCTTTTTAATATTCATTGCATGTCCTAGATCAAATGAGTGGATGCCTATTATCATTTCTCTATCCATTACTTCCATTGTTTTCAAAGAGTTAGGGGCAACAAAAAAAAAAACAACAAAGATAGATTTGAAAAAAAAAAATATAGTCAAAAAGAAAAGAAATAAAGTTGCTAGAAAAAGAAAAAAAAAAGAAGAAAAAAAAGAAAAGAAAGAAAAAAAAAAAAAATAAAAATAAAAAGTTGCCTAGCTCATCCATTCCATTTGTTTTATTATTTCTTATCATTTCTTTCCATCATCATTGTGTTAAGGTGTTCACTCAATTGAGTTAGGTTATGCTTTGCATATTAAGGGGATATATCTTGATTTAGCATTATTTTGATGCTAACCCTATTTTTTTTTATATACATGCATTTCTTAGACATCCTTTCATTACCTATATCACAACCTAATAAAGTCCATTTGATTCTTGATTGCAAGTGCTATTTAGTGATGGAGATGTAGAAGGGTTACAAATTCATAGTAGGGTTTATCCTAAGAAATTTTGAGTGAAATTTAATACCTTATACACTTTGAGTGATGAGAGCAAACACTTAACCTAGAGAGGCTTACTCTTTGACATTGATTCTTGGTAAGGGTTTGTTTGTGATGTGCATAATTTTTCGTAATTATTGCCACATTGATTGATAATTTGTAGAAGTTCATGAGCTAGTATTTTAGTGACTTGAAACAATTTTTTCTCTTATTTCTTTGTCTTATAGTTTCTTTTGGGACCTTTTTCACTTGATTTTGCCCGGAGTGCAAAAGCTAAGTGTGGGGGAATTGATAGAACACATTTGTTACCCACTTTTATTTGTCAATTAGGACCATTTTATTAATGATTTATCACCTTCAAGTGCACACATTGCATTAGATTTGGAACTTTGCCTAAGTTTCTAAGATCAGTGCACTAGGGGCATTTTGGTCAAAAAAATGAACTTTTGAGAAAATGTACAAGAAAAATTGACAAAGTGCATTTTATGTCCAGTTGATGAATGGTGGAAATTATATTTTTAAAATTCATTTTAGTTTGGGAGTAATTAAATAAAAAAGTCAACACTTTCTTAAGTGTCTTAGTTTGTCCTAGTTTTTGGTTTGCCTTTGTGTGAAAATTTTTATATAATTTTGTGCAGCCTGAAACTTGGTTAATTTAATAAATTCTCCCTTCTAATTATGAATTTAATTCTGGACATGAATTAGATTTTATTATATCATATGCTATTTAATTGAATTATGTGATTTATGTGACATAGGTGGCATGTGACTTGTGCATCAATTGGGCAATTGAGGTCAACACTCCTTGAGGACAATGGCTGATGGTTTGCACGTGAATTATGATTATTTTGAGGGATTAGATCAGCTAAAATGATGTGGATGACACATGGGAAATTAGGCACACATTGGAATCATCTACAAACCAATAGGAAGTTGCCACCTTGCAAGTGTGACAAGGCTCCCATTTACATTTTAATTTCTTTTTCCTTATTTTAATTAAGCTTCAGCTGATGGGAGACACCAAGGAGCACGCCATTTTAAGTCCCAAATGGGATCCAACACATATCTCATTCATCTTCCACATTCTCTCTCTCTTGTTCATAGTGTTCTTCATTTTCTCTCTTTTGTTCTTCATTTTCCAGCACCCTAACCTCCATTTTCAGCCACCAAACCTCCACAAAACTCATACCATTCTTCTCCTCTCTTCATTTTCGTTCCATCCCTTCCATTTTCACAAGGATTGAAGCTCATTTTCATCATTCAAGAGCTATGGAGTTTGGCCTTCACAAGCAATCACTAGGGTTCTTGAAGATGAAGATTGGCTAAGTTTCTTTGTGGAATCCTAGAGAGATGAAGATGGAGGATGAGTCTTGAGCTTCAAATTGGCTAAGTTCTTTTGTTTCCTATCCTCTTCTCTTTTTACTAGATGGTTAGATTCCTTAATCTAGGGTTTAATCATCTTAGCTTATAAATTCTAATTTGAATTTGATGTTGATGTAAAGAGAGAGGATTGTTTCATTTAATTTCTTCCTTGGACAGCCATGACTGAATTTTGCCACTCTTTGTTTGGCACATAATCTTGTGTTTTTCAATTAGTGAATTTCTTGTGTTAATATTGCATAATCTTGTGGTGTTAATGCTTGTGTTGTTGAGTAGCTTGACATAATCTTGTGGTTGCTCAATTTATGTGTTTGACCATGGCTGTTGAGAGAGGATTTTGAATGAATCACTTGGCTAATGTCTTCACCAATTGGTTAATTGAAATAGGGACTTTAATCTAAGACCTAGGGAGGTTAGCTAATTAGGTTAATTGGCTTAGGATAATTTTCTTAAGTCATGACAGCTTTAGTCAAGAGGAAAGAAGCTAAACTTAGCCTAATCATGAGAAGATAATGAGTCCAAAATCAACTAATCTCTAGGGTTCCATTATTGTAAAAAGGGAAGTTCATTTCACTCACTTTCACTAGCATTTTAATTACTTGCATATTAGGTAATTAGTTTAGATAATTAGCTAGATAACTAAATTCCTACAAACTTTGGTTGATTTATTTCACTAGATAACTTTCAATTAGACTTAAAACCATTCCTTGGGAGATGACCTAGGGTTGGCCCTATATTGCATTAGGGTTAGCTTTAGTGTAATTTTGAGGATAAGCGACTAATTTCCTATCACTTATCCTATAGATGATTTGAGACTTTCCCACTTATTTTATAAGGGACTTAAACCTAACTAGTCTCCACCAGTTCATAAGGCGACTAGATGAGGAGTACGACACCCCATGGTTGTTAGTATTGGGGGAAACCAAATTACATAAGTGAGTGAGTTAACCCTGGCCTGGTTGCTCCTCACAAGTGGAAAGTTAGGTTAGTCCATGAAGGATGTAGCCATGTGATAACCACTGGTTTCATGTTAGAGGTAACAGGAGGGTATAAGGTTGGCATTTGATCATGTATATAAATCCAACCATATAGTTGTTAGTATTGTGGTCCGGTATGAGTTAAGGGCACATGGTTGGTATTATTGCAACCCCATGTTGTGCTTTACAAAATAAAATGATTATATGTTTTTAGGCTCGGCCATATGGTTATTAGTTTTGTGAACCGTGGCCAAGTTCCTCACATGTGCTATATATGTGTTTGCCTATTTAAATCTATTTACAATTGATATACAAGTGTATAGATTAGGTGAAACTTGGTTATTGAGTAGTTGTACTAACCCCTCAATTCTCAATATTTTTAGGGCCTAGCTCATCAAATCTGAGTCAGGCAAAAACACTCTAAGGCGTAGGATTGTGGTAAAATCCTACTTTCATTCCTCTTTACTTATTATTGTGTATTAATGTTGTATAGTTGCCAACTAGGATCAAATGTCATTATTTTGTACTACTTGCACTAGCTTAGTGTACAACTTGTATATTTTATGCCTTGGGTTAGTGAGTTTTGGTTGTAAACCCATAGATAGGGCCAAAATACCTATGCAAGTAAAAACATGTGTATTTTGAAAGATTTGAAATGAAAATGATGATTTCGTGCATAAATTTCCTCCCCCTTGTGTTTTATAAAATTTGGGGTGAAGTGATAATTTTAAGAAGTAAGTGCTTTCAGTTTTATGTGGTGTGTTGAATGGGTCTACTAAAGTCTATTGAGTGTGGTTGGAGTGTCGGTGTAAGCTTTTGGCACTCATAATTGTGTTAGGACACCTTTGATGTGAGGTTTTTGTGAAAAAGTGGTAAAAAGGGTTTTGGTGTCTAACCTTTCACAAAAAAAGAATATGAGTGTGAAACTGGTGCCATTAGCTAAAGCTAGGAGAAAGCTCTGTGTAGATACTAAAACTACCTCAATTGAATATCAAAGGGAGATTTGGGATGAGTAAGAAGTTTGCTCCCTATGCTATCAAATGACAATAACTAATACTGTCATTTTCATGCAATGCACCATAGCGCATTATGCCCCACACCGTGGTGCATGGCACAGAGAAGAGTGAGCCATAGTGCATATGTCACAAGCTATAGCGCACATCACATTTTCTACATAAAACCCAGTTTTAAGTTTTAAAACTCATTGTGATGGGCCCCATTTATTTTCCAAGCTTTCACATCATTTTCAAACTTTGATTTGAATACAATAAGTTTTGTTTGATATTTGAAATGTTCACTTGGGATCAGACTAAGGTTGTTACTACCTTAGCAAAATAATACTAACCTACACTAATGTAGTACTAGTGTGAACCTAGGTCGATCTTTATGAGGAGGCTTAGTTAGAAAATTTAGGTTTCAAGTGTGCTACAAGTTAAAAGTGACTTAGATAGATTTAGTCTCAAAACTAAATGAGCTAATTAACCTAATTATAAGGTGAATGAAGTAGGTGTGTGCAAACTTATTAGAAGTGGGAACTCCTATATGGAATTAGTCACCTATCCTTGTTTGATTACAACCTATCTAGTTTAGTTTCCTCTCTCTTTTCTTTAGTTTAAGTGACTTAGCTATGTTAACCAAGGCTTAGCTATTACCTCGACCAACCCCAATCCAAGATTATAGTCTTAGAGTGAGCCAAGGCAAAGCTAGCATTAAACCTAACCAAAGTATTACAAACATGAGTCAATTAGGTCAAGCACATATGAATGAATCAACATGCTCAAGACTATAATTCATGAAGATATTCACATGCATTCAAGTTGGCAAGATTATGACAAGCAAGAAAATATGTTAAACTTATCAAGCTAACCATTATGAATAAACTTGAAGAGGCCAAAATCTAGAGCTTAAAGTAATAAAACTTAAGTTACAACAAGCATCTCTCAATTATATGAATCATCACTTGAAATTATAAGATCAAAGAGTCATAAAAATTTTCAATTCTAGAGAGAGAAAAGTAGAGAGAAGAAATTCAAATTCAACTAGAAAATAGTACAAATTCAAGGTTTCCTTCTCCACATAGTAGCTCCTTCAAGAATCTAGCCTTACATCTTCAAGTGATGAACAAGATGAAGCTCGAAGATTATGGTCTTCTTCACCATGATTTTGCCCTATGATAGCTTGGTTTAATCCTTGAGAAAGCTATTAGGTTATGTAAAGGAAGAAAAGAGAAAGAGAATGGTGGTGGTTTTGTGAAAGTTGGATGGTTAGTTTGAAAGATATAGAGGAGAGAGAATGGAAGTATAGAGAGAGAAGTGAGAGAACTTGAAGCTTGAAATTTCAAAATATGAGTTAATGATCTGAAAAAATTGATCCTAAGCTAGCTAAGAAGTGTTTGGGATGAAATTGTGGTGGTCTACTTGCTAAACAAGTTTCCAAAAAACTAAACACAAGTCATTAGGTCAAGTGAGGTTAAGGGTAGTCTGGGTTGCAAGTTAACTTGGGTGATAATTCCAATGCTTTCTCTTCTAATCCCATATATGCATGGATATGATAAGCTCTTATGCTCCGTTAATTTCCTTGGAATTCACTCTAAATGAAGCTTAAATTCAGATATGAAATTTGCCTCCAAGCTTCTCAAACACATTGCAATTAACTTGAGCTTTGACAAGTCAACTTGATCCATTATGTGCAAGTGCATGGAACCTTCATGTGTGCCTCATTAGACCAGATAAATCACACTATTTTTAAGCCCATTCAGGTCTGAAATTTCGTGCTCAAGCTTCCTCATGTGCCAATTGAGTTATGTCTTTATTTGTCACACTTATTCACCTAAATCACAATTAAATCAAATAATCAAATAACCATAGTGTGACATTTATTTAAGTAGACTAAGATAGAAAATATTTAATTCATCCAAGGTATTAAAATGACTAAAGGAAAATGAATATGAAAGCCTCACAAAAATCAAGTGTAGACAAGCACACACTTGAACTAAAATCAAAGGCTAATTAGAAACCCTCAAGGAGACAACCTTAAAATGTTGTATTTTCCAAATAAATCACAACCTAGGATGAATCAATGAAAACTAATTATACCAATCATCTTATCTCATCAAAAGACATAAATCTCAAGCTTAACCATAATTTGGCGAAAAAGTGCATTTTATGACCAAATTACCCTTGCGTATTTGAACACTTAGGCAAAATTGCACTAAGAATGTGATATCAATACATATGAAGACTCTTAACATATATAAATGACCTTAAAACAAATGCACAAATAAAATTCCCAATTTGCCTTTGAATTCCCAACAAAGTGCAAAAATGACCAAAATACCCTTAATATGCACACTTTCTCACTAAGGCCCAAGACCCTAATTTAACACCTAGAATGCACATTTTAGGGTTTTCTATCATGAAATATGGTCCTAAATTTCTAAGAAAAATGTTTAACAAATATGACCTATTAGGATCCCAATTGTATATGATTTTCAAAATTTTCTCTTTTATGTAATTTTAAAACTTTATTGATCCTTTGAGGGTTAGTCCTTTGATTACCTTAAACATGGAGTTAAATATGGTTAAATAAGGGAGACCTTATAGATTACAGCTTGCTTAAGGGGTTGGTCTACTGAAAGTCTGTGTAACATCATGAATCTCAATCAAAGGAACTAGTTGCTAATCAAGGGTAAATTAAAAATTAGTAGATGGATTATGGTTTCGATATCGAGTTGATATTTTGTGTTGTTTGGATATTATGTTAATAGGATTGAAGGGAAGAATAGTAATTTGGGATGAAACGTGTGAGCATAGGTGAGATTAAACTCATTGTACCATGCGCTGCAGTGGAAGCTACATGTGCTGCGGTGCACTACACAAAATTTTACTTAAGACCTAAGTTAGAACTTATGAAATTAGAAGAAATAAGAGAAAAATGCATCTAAGGAGGATAGAAGGTTTGGCTCTACTAGGGCATCAAATATTCAGAGGTTTAAAGTCTGCTTTGGCTAGTGACTTGTCAGGTAAGTATCATACATGTAATGTCCACCTTGACATTACCAAAATTCACCACACAATCACAACAAACAATCATTAGGATCAAGGATTTGCTCCTAATCTCACATTATCCATATAAGGGTTTAAATTAATAATATTTTTAAAAATAATTGCGGAATAATTGGGATCCCATAAAAACCCTTTAAATTGATAGTTTAAGCTCAAACTTAATGATTTATATAGGCATTGGAAGCATGGAAAGGTTTTGGGAAGCAAACCACTTCAAAATAGGGCCAAAAATGTCATTTTTGAGTGTTTTATCTCTCTCTAAAGGCTAAAATTGAGCATACGAGTTCAAAGCTCTATTGTTTAGCTCTAAACCAGACACAAAGCTCTAATTTAACTTTCGAAAACCTTTCTTATTACTATTAGACAAGAATCAAACCCCTTAAATTCTACCGATTCAATTTACCTGTAACTCATTTTCAGAAAAATTTATGTAAAATGGAAGGTAAGAGTTATACGTAGCTTAGCTAGCAAGTTACTGATCTGAATCACCTTCCACCGCTCTAAAATGACTTAACCTAGCTCTTCAGCCCTTCTCCTCTCTCTGTCTCATGTGTTTCTCAAATTCTCTCCCCTGAAATTTCTGAAATTTCATGACTTGAAGTGAATTTCTGGTCCATGCATCGCGGCGCACGCAGCACAAGCCGCAACATGTGGCATAGTGAGATTTATTCTCACAACACACACTTGCTTTAACCTAAAACACACTCCTATCACCTATATCTATTCATACAATACACAAACAAGTCAAAATACCAATTAATCATCCAAATCTCTAATCCCACTTTAATTTTCACTTCACCCTCGATTAACCTCTAAACTTAAGATTAAGAAATTCAGGATGTTACAAGGAAAGAGTAGCCTCACTTGGTAGTGGTATGACTACCAATTGTGTAGATGAATGTATAAAGTTGTATTTAGAATTTGAGTTGTCAACTAGGATGCATAAGTATATGTGAAAATAAATATATAAATATATATATGAATTCTGTTATGGAAACTTGCTTTGTGTGATACTGCATCTCACCGAAGGTACTACAATAGTAGGTATGTGGGTAGGATTAGATGCATATCAAGCAAGTGTATGTTATTATGTAACTTGTTCCACTAGTATATATGAAATTGATGTGATGATTTATGTATATGTATATGAGAACTTGACACAATTAGTGAGGCAGAGCCCTATTTAGAAGAGTTGAGTATATTTGTGATTTTAGACTATATGTTGAGATGGAGCCCTATATGTGAGAGTTGGAGAGTTGAAAGTGAAATAAGTCTATATATATATGTATTGGTATGTTTGTGCCTTATATAAGTCCACAATTGTGTAATGTGGCATTGAGAGGTCAAATTGAGTATTTGATATGATATTTATATTATGATAAGTCAAAGGTGCATATAGTCCTTTTGGACTTAGTTTAAGGCCCGAAGTGGTCTAATAGGACAAGAAATAACAATTGAGCACTTATGGTGTAAGTTTTAAAAGAAAAAGTAGCTTTTTGCACCCTAAGTATCTAATTTTAGATTGGACCATCGAATCAAGTCCAAACTTGTCTCATTAGATAGAATACATTGTGTGCTTTGTGTAGGCACTTGAATCAATCCAACCGGACGTCGAATGTGGAAATGGAACTCGACAAAAGTTCATCTTCTGAGCTATCATTATGCACTATGGCACATTTATGCCACGCCGCAACACATGACACAAAGAAGAACAAAGCTTGTTGCTCTATACCACATGCTGCAATGCATGGTGGTGTAAGCCATGGCGTATGGCACTTTTTTTAGGGAAAAATGTTATGCCTCTTTAAGTCATAAAATTATGTTTATTCTTCTATTAACCCTCTTATTTGAACATATGTTTGATGAATTTAGGATCCCGCATTAAAAAATATTTTATGGGCTATTACTCTAATGTTATGTGATTGTTATTTAATGATTATGTATTTGAGAATGGTAAAGTCTAGATTAAGTTAGGACTTTACACTCTGCCTTGTGGCCATCTGAATAACCCCTGGAGAAAGAGGGTTGGAAAGATAATCTCTTGAGCGTCTACTTCTCAACATGCATGGCTAGACGAACTACATCATCCAAGGTCCAATACTTCTGAAGCTGGACTGGACGACTAATGTCAGTGTTTAAGCCAACAAGGTATTGAGCTATTATTTGCTACTTTTTCTCTTAAATGTCACACTTCATCATGAGTTGTTCAAATACTCTAGTATACTCTTCTACAGACATGGACCTCTGTCGAAGATTTTGCAGTTGGAGAAAGTTATCTTGATAGTAATGGACTTGTAGAAATTTCTTGGTGAGCTAGCATCTCATCTTCTCCCAAGTCTCAATCTTGCACTTCCCCTTGCATTTTTGCTTTCGTTTAAGGATTTCCCACCAAATGGAGGTATGTTTTTTGAGTTTGAGGGCAACAATCTTGACTTTCTGTGCATATGGAATCTCCTTATACTCAAGTACAAGCTCAATAGTTTGAAGCTAGTCTATGAACTTGTCTGTGCATCTGGAATATATATAATTCATTTACCTTAGATAAATCATTATATTCATTGAATCTAGACACATTCTAGATTCAATGAACTTGGACATTATAGCTCGAGTTAGGCTATTCTTGTGTGCAACTACTAGTGCAAAATTCATTTTTTGCCACAGTTAAAATGCATTTTTGGCTAGAAGAGATGTTGTGTAGTAGAAGATTATGTGGTAGTAAATATATATTTTTCACCACAGGTCAAAAGAAACTATAGCAAAAGATACTATTTTTCACCACAGGTCCTATCTGACTTGTGGCGTAAAACACAATGGTGAAAAATATCACTTTTTGCTATAGGTGGGTTCAGACCTGTGGCGAAAGATCGCATCTTTCACCACAGGTCTGAGATTACCTGTGGCTAAAAATAGGAGAAAAATATCATTTTTCACCACAAGTATCCACAACTATTGCCATAAATGACTTTTACCACAGTTATTGTAATAATTATGACAGTAAATACTCTATATATTTTTTACTCATACACTTATATCTATATACATCCCTTACCTACAAAACCTGCATTAATTAAGAAATAGCAGCTCTAGAGACCAATATAAATATATCTAGTGAACACATATGAACTAAATTTACATTTCCAATACAAAATATCTAGAAAGTTTCTACTCTAATCCTGTTAATTCTAAGAAAAAGCTAGACCATAAATTGCATATATATCTCAACTCTTGCTTAGAATATGGCTCTAAACTTTAGAAATGCTGCAAATTCAATAACAATATACGCATGAATAATAACTCAAGTATATGGCAAACATCATAATTATAAATCATTATTTATAAATTATTACCTATTCAAATGAGTGACCAATACCTTAAGTGATGATTTTATACATAAAAATCATCACATAATAACTGCACTCTACACTTCCTGATTGTTGAGGACACTATAAAGAAAATAGAAATAATTAAATTCATTAAAACAATATTATAATCTTCATTCTAATTAAGGAATAAATTTGAAATACTTACTTGCATTGGTACAAACTTGATTTCATTTTTTTTCTTGTCAACCATTCCCGCTGATTTCCAATATGTCACTAAAGATCTATTTATCAAATATACACACTTAGAAAATATTAAATATATATTATTAATAACAAAAAATAAAATTATTTAAAAATTTACAATTCAAGCAAAGACTTCATGTTGTTGCTTACTTTCCTTTTGCAGTGAACAAATGCAGTATATAGTATTTTCATACGGCCAAATGACAGTAAGCATCCAATGATGACTACAATATATTAATTTATATTAATATCACATCATTAAGAAAAAAATTTTATAAATTGAGCGACGAATTTAAAATTTGATACCTCTCAATAATTGGTAAAAACCAGCATTTCTTTTTTTGCTTACACATTGTCTTTCCAATATAAGAAGCTCTTTGATTCACTTTATCAATGGAGGTTAAAAGTGGAGATAAGAACCCATAATTCTTATCGACACCGAGTTTGGTGCATATCTTGTGGAGGTACCTTTGATAATTAGACATACGTTAGCAATAAAATAAAAATATCAAATATTAATTTAGAAATAAAAATGAATACTTACATTATAAAAACTTGAATTATTGACAAGTCCAACCACTCAAAAATAATGAGGTCACTAATATCTTTTTTGGCAACTCTAAAAGTAATAGACTTCCCAACAATATTTTCGATTAAGTTTATTTCATCAAAAAATTCATTCATGTCAACCACCACTGAACCCAATCATTTCAAATCATCTTGCATCGGTTAGGGATTGGAACTCAAAGATTCTTTTGATTGTAGTAGTTCCTATAATTAATATATAATAAAAATTAGAAATGCCTATGTTATGAATTAAAAAATAAAAAGTTGTAACATTTTTATACCTCTTTAGTAACCTATGGACTAGCTTTGTCAACCAAATAATGAAATTATGTTGAGCTTGTCCCATTGTCTCCACCTCTTCAGGAGGAAATAGTACAGGAGCATTAGCGTCCACAACCTCTTCAACCATCACCTTTACTTGGTTATGTTGTATCTGCTGATGGTGGACTATAGTTGAATGGTTATACACCTTTCCATATGCAACTACTTGCTTGCCATGATCCTTTACTTAAAGTATGCAAGGCATTCCTTAATCTGATAGGCTAAGATCACACACTAGATCTATAGCACTACCATAATTCAGTGTTTGTTGTGGTTGCATTTGTAAATTACTAATCATTGATTGCATTTCAATCATCATGCTTGACTTGCATTCTGCTATCATCATTTGTACTTGCTGGATTGGCATAAGATTAGATGGTGGAGGTTTAAAATATTGTCTTATACCTATACCTTTTAGAACCGCAATAACACAGTAGGGGTGCCCTTCACTCCCTTAGGCCATGGTCAATATGTCCTTTCTGCCAATAGACATAAAGATCCCCTCGGATGATGCTTCTGTAAGAACATCCTGGAACATGTAAGCAAGTAGAAATCAATGTAAGCAATAAATTTTAATTATATGATTAAGATATTGACTATAAAAATACTTACAATTTTCTCAACTACTTCTCTAGCCTCCGGGGAAATAAACTCTCCCTTTTTATTCTTCTATCCTCTCTTCCATGCTTGAGCACGATTAACAGGAGATGGAGGAGAAATGTCTTCAATATTATCAACTCCCACTGCTTGTCTTTTAGCTTCCCACTTCTCTTGATCCATTATATTATAAATATATGCATACCCTCCTTGAGACATAGTATAGTTGTATAGATTTTTCTTTCAATGCTCTTGACCTTTTTGACTTTTTTCCTATTAGTAAATAATGAAAAGCATTTATTAAAAATAAACCTTCACTAATACTAAATAAATTATCATATTCTTCCTTTACTTACTAAAAACTTTGGATCATGTCTACTGTGAACAAATTTTTATCCACGTGTTATAATCAATGAACGAATATTTCTCCTAACATTTTTCCATGTTTGCATCATTATTACTATCGTCATTTTCATTGCCATTCTCAAGAAAGACATATTTTCTAGTAACCTTGGATTTAAAGTCCCTCTATCGGTCCCCAGCATACTTTAGCCACTTGTCCTTTAAAAATGGAGTTTCCTTGATGTCATAGTAATCTACAAAATAATACATATCAATAATGAATTTAGTAACAATATATTTCAAAATAAAAAATAGATGTGACATATAACAATAGGAAATACCAGTATAGATTTCCAAACATCATTTCTATCACTTTCATTGATATCATCCCACTTTTCCTCCAAGATGTTGATTTTTTGACGTGCCACCAAACCTACAAAACTTTTAAAGATGTTTCCTTTCTTCTTATCAATTGGCTGGCCATTGTCATCAAAATCAAGATGAACTTTTTCATGAATTTAGGGCCAATTTAGTCAGTCGTGTGGCCCCTCCTTTATGTCTTTTAGAATTTTTTTTGTCAGTGACGAGATTCTCCATATTTTTCCTAAAACAAATAAGATAAATAAGGTCAGTGGCAAGAAATATAATAAATTTAAATTAATGTAAAAATGAAAGTATAAAAAGCAAAATCAAATGAATCAAAAAGATCCAATTATATTCTATTACCATTATAAAAATATTTTAGTTCTCCCATAAACCTTCATCATGATCAGTTCTAATATCATATACGTCGTCTTCGTCTTCCCATCCAATAGGGGCAGGGTTGGCATAAAAAAAGGAATCTCTTTAATATCAAAACTCATTTCATCATCTCACCATGAGTAAGGAGACTTTTCCCAATAGAACCACAGATAACCTCTTATTAGCTAGATCGGTGGCATAAAAAACTTGTTTTACATGAGTTGTCATTATAAAAGGCTCATCCTTATGATTTTCCTTATTAAGATCCAATAAAGTAAAACCCAACTTATCTTCTTAAATACCATTCTTAATGTCAACCCATCTACACTTGAAAATAGGCACCTTAAATTTAAAGTAGTCAACTTTCCATATCTCTTCAATGATCCTAAAATATGACGAGGATGCCAACATTGGATTTTTGTCTTTTGCACTAGAAAAATGAGTTACTTTAGCTGCTATCATTACCCTACTATTTTTCATGGTCCTATTATCATCCTGTAATTTTGTATAGAATGAATATCTATTAATGTCATATGCACTCTAAGTAGTAATATCAAAGCTAGGCCCACTAGTTAACCATCTTATTACTTCTAAAACATTGAACTTCTTACGATCCTCCTTTACCTTTGCCCGAAACCAAAGTGAAAAATATCATTTGTGCTCAGTTAGTAACCATTTATCACCCTTTTTAGGATACTGATCTCTTAATTCCTTTTTTGTACATATCCAAATAATCTTGAACATCATTGGTGTTATTCAAGATATACAAATGTGCTTGTTGCATTTCTTCATGAGTTATATGCTTTACTTTCATGCCTTGTGTCCCTTGTCCTTCAAATCTTATTCCCTCATGGTGAGATTCAGGAATACTGATAGATTTGACTTTAAAATAGGTATTCAGTACAAAACTTGACATCCTCCATAACATATCTTTCAATAATAGAGGCTCCCGGATGATGGGTATTCTTCACATAGCCTTAAAGAATTTTTATGTACCGCTCAAATGGATACATCCAACGTACCTCCCTCACCAAATATACAACTAAATGTACTATGATGTCAAAAAAGGAAGGAACAAAATACATTTCTAACTGACACAAGGTAATGACGACAACATTTTACAACTTATCTAATTTCTCAAGATCAATGACTTTGTTGCAAATTGTGTTAACGAAGACACATAGTCTAATAATTGATTTTCTCACCTTTTCCTCTAATATGTCCCAAATGGCTACTGGTAACAATTGTTGCATTAGTACATGGCAATCATGAGACTTCAAACTAACTAATTTTAAATCTTTCATTGATACAAGGTTCTTGACATTTGAAGAATATCCTTGTGGCACTTTAATACCATGTAGACACTCACAAAAACTTCTTTTCTCTCTTTTAGACAAAGTATGAGGAGCTGGCCTCATACAAGTCCTCTTTCATTCTGCTCTTAGACCCAAGTTTGTTCATATTCCTATGTCAAGTAAGTCTATTCTTGCTTTGACTCCATCCTTGGTCTTCCCTTTTATATCTAATAGTATTCCAATGAGACTATCACATATATTTTTTTCCACATGCATCACATCAATATTGTGTCTTACCTTAAGGGTGCTCCAATAAGGGAGATTAAAGAAAATTGACCTCTTCTTCCACTGATTCTTTTGACCATCCTTTTTTTGGCTCTTACCGAATACTATATTGATGTCTTTGACCCATTCATATGCCAAGCTTGTAGTTATTGACTTTGGAGCTTTATCATACTATTGATAGCCATTGAATGATTTCTTCTGCCTGTGATAAGGATGGTCTTGTCTCAGGAATCTTTGGTGACCAAGATAGACTGTCTTCTTCCTATGTTTTAGTTGTTGATGGGATGTATTTTCTTCACAGATAAGGCATGCTTTATGCCCCTTCACACTATATCCACACAGGTTTCCATATGCAGGAAAATCATTTATTATGCAAAAAATCATAGCTCGTAACTTAAAAGACTCATTTCGATATGAATCAAACACATCCACACCTACCTCCCACATCATCTTCAAATCTTCAATCAATGGTGTCAAGTAAACATTTGTGTCATTTCCTGGTTGTTTAAGGCCTGAAATCATCAAAGACAACATGATATATTTGCATTTCATGCACAACCATAGAGGAAGATTATAAATCACTAACATAACAGGCCTAGAGCTATGTTGACTGCTAAGATTGCCATAAGGATTCATGCCATCTGTAAACAGTCCAAGCCTAAGATTTCTAGGCTCATTGCCCAATTCAGGAAATAATTGATCAATTCCTTTTCATTGTGGAGAATCGGCTGAATGCTAAAGCATGTAACATCCCAAAAATTAACTTAATGCTAATAAAGTTAATTTAGAGCAAATGATTAATTTTAGAGGAATACTTAGATATAAATAATTTTAGTTAGAATATTGGATTTAATTTATATTAAAATCCTAAGTTATGATTTTATAGTAAATAGAAATAGTAATAATAATATTATTAAAAAAAGAAGAAGGAAAGAAGAAGGAAAAGGAGCATAAAAAAATTGAAAGAGGGGAAGTAATTTTTGCTTTTGTATGTGTGTTAATGTGTAAATAGTGCAAAAAGAAAAGGAAGGAATGGCTTTATGCTGCGCAAATTTAAGAAAACAAAAGAAAGAGAGAGAGGCGTGAATTTGACATGGGACCCACTATGTTTTAAAACCAATACTTTTATTGCCCTTTTCATTTCTCTTCCCTTTTCTTCATTCCTTCTTCCACGCACAGAGAGCGAGCGAGAGAGCGAGCGACATCGCGACTAGTGTTGATTTAGAAGGAGAAGCGCCAAAATGTTTGTGTGTGAAATGGATGTTGTTATGAATGTTTCTACGTCGATTGGGGCCTCTGCCAGGACTAGTGCTCTAATGTCAATTTGAAGTTTGGTGATAAGGTTACAATAATTGACTTAATTTGTTTGCCTTTGTTGGGCATTGATGTGATTGTGGGAATGGACTGGCTATTGGCTAATGGAGCGATTTTAGACTGTAATAAGAAGATAGTTCTATTGCTAGTGGATACTGCTACTTCTGTAGTCCTTGAAAAGACTATGCATACTGTAACATCCTAAAACTTCAAATCTAGAAAAGTGGATTAATTAAGGGATAAATTAGTTAAAAATATGATTAATTTATTTAATTATATTTTTAGGTTGCTAATTAGATTTTTAAGTCATATTTAGCTCCAAATTAAGATAGGATGAAAGTCGGATCAAGTTGGGAGGCATCGAGGGGAGCAAAATCAAGTTTTTGCTCACTGCGCTGTGAGCTGCGGCTTGCGTAGCATGCATGCAGTGCACGGCACAGCAGGCAACTTAAATTTTCAGGAATCATCAAAAATGGACAGTTTTTAGGGTAGAAAATCTAGAGCACGAAGGGGGCAACTTTGGGCACTGTTAGGGCATCAATTTGGAAGGATTTTAAAGATCATTTGATCCTTTAAACTCTTGGGTAAGTTTCCTACCCTTCTCCTCTACCTTTTCATCTCATTTTCTATGGGATTTGGAAGAGTGAGAATTTGGTCTGATGGGATTAAGCCATGAGTCAATGTTTTAAAGGTTTCTATTAACTCTAAAGGTTTAATTTAGGTTTATTGATCTTGGATATGTGGTAATATGAAGCTACTTTATTGTTTAGTGGGAGTTGGATCAAGCTTTATCTTGATCATAGGGTGTTGAAGTGTGATAAGTTGAGATATTGAGTTTTATGTTGTGATAGAGTTAGAAGGAGACTTGAAGGGATGAAGTGAACAAATTCTAATCTTGACAAGTCTATTTGTTGAGAATTTGAGTGAGAAGTGGGAGAATTGGGAGGTTATTATTAGCTAATGGTGCTTGTGTTAATTTTTAATTAACATATAGTACTTGTTGATGTAGATTGTGGTGTGGGAAGACTTATCTTGACACAAGAAGAAATTTAGTACCACGGGTAACCCTTTTAGTAATAAAAGGGTTGAGGTAACTAGATAATTTGCATTGTTTATTACCTTATATAAGTTATTCTCAAGTGCTTTTCTATGATTTGTTGAGTATATATGTATAAATTCTTTAAAAGTTAACTATTTTAGAAAAAGTGGAGTATTATTCTATATTTTTGAAGTAAATGGCAAGATTTTGTTATACTTGTTTGAAAAGTTATTTATGCATGGTCAAGTGGAGATATGTAGTGAAATGTGGCATATTAGAGGGTGGGAGGTCACCCTAGTGGAGAAAGTGAAGATTAAGTCCATATGGCATTGCTGGTACCTCGGGACGCCAGGTGCAGCATTTACTCTCCTTAGTACTTGAAAATGGGTGCGGTGTTAGAGGCTTACTCTTCTTAGTAGCTAAATAGGTGCGGAGTTAGAAACTATGCTCCTTAGCATCTCTAGGATGCGGTGTTTAAGACCACTTGGTCGGGTAGTCCTGCCATGGATAGTGAGCTTGGGGACCATACATGTGGTTTGGTTCTGTGAAATAGCCTACTGGTTCGATCGGGAGTATTGGAGGACCAAATGGTTAGGGATCATGCATGCAAATTTGTGATGATATTATATGATGTGATTATGTCACTTATTTTAATACTTGTTTATAACTTGGCTTGTTAATCAATAATGTAGATTATCTTAGTTACTGAGATTTTTATCTCACCCTGTGGATTATCATTTTACAGGTGCTACTAGTGAGACTGAGCTAGGGAGGGAATCGGGCAAGGGCTAACATTTCTGCTACACTCTTTGTAAAGCCTAATTTTGGTTTGAGTGGTGTACATAAACTTGTTATATGATATTATATGTTGCCAACTAGGAATGCATATCATTTTGATTGGTTGCACTTGTTTCATACTATGTTGTTGTGTATTTTAGACCAACATTGTATATGAGGTAAATGTGTGGTAATTTTATGGTGATGAGCTAAAATACTAATACAGGTACAAGGAATGTTTTATCTAAGTAGTGATAATATATTGTTAGTGTATTATGTGACAATAGAGGCCAAATAGTGCTAGTAGTGCTAATTATGCATTTTGGCCATATTGGGCAAAATGGCTATTGAGTGGCCAAATTTTGTGTTTGGTATGTTTTTGTGTGTTTGATTGGTCACTCAAGTGTATTTTGATCTATTGGACTTGGTTCAAGCCTCACAATGGGTTAATGGTATAAGTTATGAGTTTTGGATACTTGGATGGTTGAAAATTTATTTGAAAAACTAACTTTTGCATCCGAGTGTCTAAAATTCTCATATAGTGTCGGATCATAACAAAACTTATACCACTAGTTAGCTTATTGAATAAGCTTCGCGTGGGTGCTTGAATCACTCTAATCGGACATTGGATGTGAAAATGGTGCGTGTTCAAAGTTCATTCAGAAAAGCCATCATGACAGCATTGCTATCATGGATAGGTGCGTCATGGCACATTTCATGCAAGCCGCAGCGCGCGATACAGCGAGTTGGCATTCTGTGCCAAATGCCGTGGCGCACAGACCACGAACCGCGGTGCATGGACCAAAACACTCAAAAATGACATTTTTAGCCCTGTTTTGAAGTAGTTTGCTTCCCAAAACTTTTCCATGCTTTCAACGCCTATTTAAAACATTAAGTTTGAGCTCAAACTATCAATTTAAAGGGTTTTTATGGGATCCCAAATATTCCTTAATTATTTTTAAAAGATTATTAGTTTTAACCCTTATATATATAATGTGAAATTAGGAGCAAATCCTCACTCCTAATTATGATTGGTTGTTGTGATTGTGTGGTGAATTTTGGTAATGTCAAGGTGGACATTACACATACCATTATGGTGGACACAGAAATGCCTAAGTTCTTGTTTGCTATGGATGTCAAGAAGTCAGATCAAGAAGGATGCCAAATGTTCATGCTGTTTTGTTTAGTGTAAGGAGATAAAGAATAAAAGATTGATCAGATAAAAGTAGTGAAAGAATTTCTAGAGGTTTTTGCAGATGTGAATGGTTTGCCACCAGAGAGAGAAGTCAAATTCTAAATTGATTTAGCTCCAGGTACTGAGTCAATCTCAAAGGCTCCATATCAAATGGCCCCTGTAAAATTAGAAGAGTTAAAGAAGCAACTAGAAGACTTGTTAGCTAAGGGCTTCATAAGACCGAGTGTATCACCATCGGGATCACCAGTTCTCTTTGTGGAAAAGAAAGATGGGAGTATGAAATTGTGTATCGACTTCTGCCAGCTTAACAAGGTGACAATTAAAAACAAATATCCTAAACCATTTCTAAACTACTGGTTCCCCCTATTACAAGTAATTAGGGTACCGTTACTCCAACACTGCATCCTATAGATGTTAAGGAGCATAGTCTCCAACTCCACACCCTTATGGGTACTAAGGAGAGTAAGTCTCCAACACTGCACCCTTTTTTGAGACTAAAGAGTAATATGAGCTGCACCTGGCGTCCCAAGATGCCAGCAGTGCCATATGGACTTAATTTCCACTAACTCTACTAGGGTGACCTTCCACCCTCTAATATGTCACATTTCACTACATATCTCTATTTGACCATGTATAAGCCACTTTCTAAACTAATATAATGAATATTACCACTTACTTTAAAAAACATGATATTTTACAAATCAATACTCCACTCATTTTCTAAAATAGTTACCTTTTACCAAATTCATACATATATACATAACAAATCATACAAGAATAGCTTGAGAATAACTTATACAAGGAAATAAATAATGTAAATTATCTAGTTACCTTAACCATTTTGTTACTAAAAGGGTTACCCATGATACTAAATTTCTTCTTGTGTTAAGGCAAGTTTTCCCACAGCATAATCTACATCAACAAGTATTATATATTAATTTTCAATTAATACAAGCACTATTAACTATCCATAACATCCCAATTCTCCTACTTCTCACTCATAATCTCAACAAATAAGTTTGTCAAGATTACAATTTTCTCACACAATCCCTTCAAGCCTCCCTTTAACTCTATTACAATATAACACTTGACATCTTAACTTGTCACACCTTAAAACCCTATAATCAAGCTAGGGCTTGATTCAACTTTCACCAAACAACAATTTAACTTTATATTACCACTTATCCAAGGTTTGTGTGATGCCTTGACATTGTTTCTATGCTCCATTTCATGCAAGCAACCCTTGGGTATACATACCTGAATTGTCATTTTATATTCTAGTTCATATTATTAAGTGCCATTTCACGTGTGACACAGAAGATAACCATACGTGATTTGTCATCAAGTCTTTTATACACATTTTTCCAAATTGAGTCTTAAGCCATTTCAAGTGTGGTTCAATATTGTACACTAGCGTGATCTATCATTTATTATTCTAAATCTCTTGATCATGCATTCCTTACTTAAGTACATAATAGTCCCACGTGTGATATGTCTTACAGAATGGTTTAAGTTTTACAACTTACCATTTCACACATGAGTATTATAGTGTTCCACGTGTGATCTCTCTTCTCGAATGATTTAGGTTTTGAAACAGCCATTCCATGCATGATATAGTGGTTCCACATAATTGAGCCTAGCATTCAGCCTGCCAATTCACACGTGAAGACCTGAGGGACACATGCAAGTTTTGTCATATAGAATTGGCTTTGGCAATCTACCAACCAACTCACATGTGAGAACATAAGGGTCACACATGAATTCTATCACACAGAATAGGTTGTATATTCTTGCCAATGAAAACCCATCTGAGACACCCTAAGATTCATGCTTGAATTGTCATAAACGCATGTCTAGAATATAGATAGCTTTATTTCATGCATGATTCATTTGGTTGCACATAAGAAATGTCACCAACAACTAGTAACACTATTCCAATGGTATGTCAACTACTAAAACTATATATGCGATGCAATTCAAGTCTAAAACAAGGATTGTCATCTTTGAGTGAACTATTCATTATTGGAGCATTCTAAAAAGCTTTCAACTTGTGCATAAACATTTAGCATTTATTTATCATTCTTGATAAAGTTTATGAAAAAGCTCTCACAATTTTTAAGCTTTCATTTACAATATATCTATTCTTCAAGAGAATTTTTTTTGTGAAAGTTTTTATAATTCATCTGAAATCTTAAAAAGGAGTTTTTCAAGTGACTGTAACAACTTGCTAGATTGTAGCAAGATTTATTGTTAAGATCAAGACAAGTTAAGTCTTGTGAGGTGTCCAGTGGTAGCAATCACCTATTAAAGCTTGTGATTTTTAATTGGAAATTTCAAGTGTGATCTTGAGGATTGAATCAGGATAAATCTTATATGTATTATCTCTTTTCTTCTTGCTCAAGTCTTTTCACTCTTCAAGCTTTCAATAAGTTTTTAGTGTCACCCAATTCATTCTCCTCTTGGGTGCCAACCTATCCAACACTTTGTGTTTAACCTCACATTTAGCCCAGAGAGCCTTTATCACTTTGTTGTAAAAGTGTGAGCCTTGATCACTCATTAAAGCTTTAAGGACTCTATACCTATAAAAAATGAAAGACTTGAGAAATTTTGCAACAATTCTTACATCACAAGTATGAGTAGGTATAGGCTAAATCCAATTGAAAACATAATCAACACACAACAAGATACAATTGTCTCCAAATAAAGAAGGAAAAGGTCCTATAAAGTCAATACATCAAACATCAAATATTTCGCAAAAGAGAATAGGAATTTAAGGCATTTCATTTCTTTTGCTCCAACTTGAGACTTTTTTGACACTTCATACAATTTTCGCAAAACTCAAAAGAATCCTTGAAGAAAGATGCACAATCCAAGATCTTCCTATATGTTCTTTTGGCACTAAAATGTCCTCCACAAGCATAAGAATAATAAAATTCAAGTACAAAAGACATATCATAATCATCAACACATTTCCTAAGTACGTTATCACTACAAATCCTCCACATGAAAGGCGGTTCCTAAATGTACTACTTAGCTTCACTTCTCAACTTGTTTAATTCAAACCTATACCAATCACTAGGCAAATCACAATACTCAAGATAATGAGCCAAGCAAGCATACCAAGGTGGTTTAGTGGAGATATCATAAAGCACATCATCCCTAAAAGAATCAATAATAGAAGAGTTAAGGTTAAAAGTTACTAATGAATCCTCAAGATATGGAAGCCTTGACAAATGTTCGGCTACTACATTAGTAGAACCACTTCTATCCATAATTTCCAAGTTAAATTATTGCATTTGAATCACCCATCTAATTAAGCTTTGCTTGCTCTCAGCCTTCCTCATCAAGTACTTGATAGCCAAATGATGACTATAAATAAAGCAGTTAAAACAAATCAAATAAGATCTAAATTTATCAAGTGCAAAAACAATAGTAAGTAATTCCTTTTTGGTTGTGGTGTAATTCACTTGTGTGCTACCAAGTATCCTAGATTCATATGCTATAACATATGAGAGCTTACCATCCTTTTATCCAAGCATAACGCATATAGCAAAGTTAGAATAATCACAAGATAATTCAAAAGATAAGGACCACTTAGGTTCTTATAAGATAGGAGGTGTAACAAGCATGTTCTTCAAACAATTAAATGCAAAATCCTTTTGCAATAATTTTATCAGGGACAATGCAATTTGTGAAAAACCTTTGATGAATCTCCTATAAAGTCCTACATAAACAAGAAATGATCTTAAATCTTTGATGCAAGTTGGATAAGGAAGAGAAGCAATGACCTCAATCTTTGCCTTATCAACTTCAATGCCCTTGGATGAAATGAGATGACATAAGACTATGCCTTATCAACCATGAAGTGACACTTCTCAAAATTAAGGATAAGCTTTTTCTCAATGCACCTACTCAACACTCTATCCAATGATACAAGACAAGATGAGAATGAATCCCCATACACCGTGAAATCATTCATGAAAACCTCTATACAATGCTCAATGAAATCACTAAAAATGCTCATCATGTACCTTTGAAATGTCCCCAGGACATTACATAAACCAAAAGGCATCCTTCTATATGCAGTGTCCTAAAAGGGCAAGTGAATGTAATTTTCTCTTAGTTAATAGGATCCATAGGCACTTGAAAATATCCACTAAAGCCATCAAGAAAATAATAGTGAAACTTGCAATTAAGTCTCTCAAGCATTTAATCTATGAATGGTAAAGGGAAATGGTCTTTCCCAGTGGCATCATTAACATTCCTATAATTAATGCAAACCTCTATGCATTTTGAACTCTAGTAAGCACTACTTCCCCCTTCTCATTCTTCTTAATTGTGATCCCTCTTTTTAAGAACCACTTGAGTAGGTGAGATCCACTCACTATCACTAATGGGGTAAATAATGCCGGCACTAATGAATTTGACCACCTCTTTCTTCACAACATCAAGAATCAATGGGTTCAATTTGTGGTTGCCTAATGGGTTTTGCATGATCATCAAGTAAAATCTTACGAGTGCGCACAAGTCGATTAATGCCTGGAATGTCCCCTAATGTCCAACGAATAGTATGACATCTAACAATGCATGTTCCTTATCACAAGAGAGAGAGAGAGAGTTTGAGATTATTATCAAAGCTTTTCTCCTTCTTTCAATTATGCATACTTCAAATTGGATGGAAATGGCTTTAATTTCAAGCTAAGAGGCTCCACACTTGATGACACTAGCTCTTTAAGCTCCAATCCTTTTTACATCTTTGCTTTGCCTTTTTCTTCCTCAATTGCTTTGTTTGGGCCAAAATTGACTCAAAATAATGGTGCTGGAAATTTTTTGTATTTGAACAATTTTCTTCATCTCCCCTTATATGCATCCTTATGGCCTCTCTTCAACTTGGTTGAATATCCTTACTTTTCTTGATAGTTTCTAAGCCCTCTATAACAATTTTGAATAGGCTTTCATCCTTATGCTTAGGAATTCATAGAACATCAAGAGAAGGATGATGGCCCACCCTTAGAACAAAAACAAGGAGAAATACCTTCCTCATGATCAAGCATGGAAATTAAAGAAGATAAATCACAATCATCCACAAGAGACATGTCCAAAGAAGAATCTTCATCAAGCAATCTTGAAGCAATTTCCTTACAAATATCACATGAAATACTATCCTTACAAAAACAAACAATACTAGGTACAAGATTAGATGACAAAGTATCACATGAAATAAGAAAAGATAAAGCATGCTCATCTACTAAGTCATCAACAACACTTTCAATAGCATTAACATCTAGCAAAGAATTGTCTTTATAAGGATGTTTTAATGCTTCATAGATACTGAAACAAACACTCTCATCACCACACTTAAGCACTAAAGTCCCTTTGTCCATGTCAATGAGGGTCCTTACAGTCCTCATGAATGGCCTACCCAAAATGAGTATGTCCTCCCCATTATCCTTGTAGCCATGTCTAAAAGATAAAAGTCAACTAAAAATAGAAGGTCTTTGACACTAACAATCAAATCTTTAACAATTCTTTGAGGTCTCCTAACACTTTTATAAGCCAATTGACAAATCATATTAGTAGCATGTAAACAATCAATGTTCAATTAAACATAAATGGAAGAAGGCATCACATTTATTTTTACACCTAAATCAATTAAAGCATGTGAAAACTTTAAAGGACCAATTTGGCAAGGGATTATGAAGGATCTGGGATCCTCACACTTAATGGGAAGTTGGGGCTTCATAATAGCATTAATAGAGGATGACAATTGAACTCTAGCATTTAGTTTAAATTTCCTCTTATTTATCCAACACTCCTTGAGAAATTTAGCATATTTAGGAATGTTCTTAATCAAATCAAGAAGAGGTATGTTAACTTGAATTTTGGAAAAAGAAATTCATCACCTCTTGATCTTGTGGTGCTTGAGCTAGTGATCTAGATGCTTGGGCTTGAGGGAAGGCTATTTCTTTGCAATCTCTTGGTTTTGGACAACTTCTTTCCCCTTCTCATTCTGACATTTTTGGCCTCTTGTTGTATAATGGCATGTGGCTTGATTTCCTTGATTTTCTTGCTCTTTTGACTCCTTTTAAGATGGAGGATCAACATAAACTTGTTCCACTCCTTCCTCATCTTCATCACTATAATAAATAGCATCATTAGAGCAAAAATTAATATTAAAATCATAAGAAATGGATGCTGGAACAAAATTTTTAAAATTGAAATTTTCATGCACAAGCTCATTTTTACACTTTTGATTAACTATTTTTTCACTTCTAAGCTCAATAGCATTAATAGGAGCCTTAGGATTAAAAACCATGTTGCTAGGCAAAGTAAGTTATTGAGCATTAGGAGAAGAAATATGGTTAGTCAAAACACTCATTTGTTTGCATAAAGTATCAATAGCATTTTCCATACTAGCTATATCTTCATTTATGGCTTTGTTTTGACCTTGTTGAGCTTCCCTATCACTTTTTACCTCATTGAGTAACAACTCTAAATTCTTGGACAGCATGGAAGTAGCATTAGAAGATGAAGAAGATGGCCCCTTAATAGGTACAATTTGCTTAGAAGAACTTAGAGGTTGAGAGTAGGAACCATTACCTTTGCCCTAGTAAAAATTTAAAGCACTACCTTGTCCATATTGCATTGAATTGTCATGGTTTGGGTACCTTTTGTATCCTCCTCGTTAGTGTTCTTGATTCAAAACTCCATTTTGATTGGCATATGATAAGTTTGGATGATTCCTCTATGTAGGATTGTATGTGTTCCTATACATGCCTTGTTGTCCTCCTCCTTGATTGTTTGTCCTATACATAGCATTCGATTCATGAGCATATTCATATTGTAAAGGACAATTAGCTTCACCATGCATGGAAGAATTACAAAAAGAACAAGACATAGGAACTAATGTATTACATGGAACACCAACATTAGAAACATTCCTTAAATTAGCATTTGCACTTAAGGTGAAATGATCTTTCCAATCCTATATGCAAGTTCATCTAATTGTGAACTACTCAAACTATTAGTAATTGAAGCTAGCTTTAGCTCTCTCACCCTATATTGTACTCCACTTTGTGCTATTTTATCAATCAACTCCTAAGCTTTATTAGGAGACAAATCATTAAGGGAGCCATTAAAGGCAGCATCAAGGCTCATTTTATCTTTAGATATAAGACCATCATAAAATTATTAAATAAGGTGCTCACTTGGAATTTGGTGATGTAAACATCTAGCTAGCATAGATTAAAATCTATTCCAAAACTCATAAAGACTTTCATCAAAATTTTAAACTATGCTAACGATTTGCTTTCTCAAACTTGCTAGCTTAGGTGATGGAAAGAATTTATTCAAAAACATATTCCTCAACTCTTTCTAAGTGTGAACCTTGACATATAGTGGAAAGTTCATGTACTACTCTTTAGCATGAGACTTAAGAAAAAACACAAATGCTCTAGCTTGAATATCATTTATGTGAGCACCAACTGGTTTCATGATATTGCAAACAAGATACAATGAATGCAAAAATCCATGACAACCTTCCCCGGGCAAACCATGAAACTTATGCAATGCTTGAATGAGAGAATGCTTAAGCTCAAACATATTGTCGTGTTGAAGGATGTAAAAACCATAGGGATTTGTGTTCCCATTAAGAGAACTAAGTTTCTTGATAGAAATCTCATCATTTTGAGGATAATGCATGCCAACTTCTTCCCTAAATGCATGATTATGATCATGCACGAAATTGCCATTTTTCCTTAAGTTTTGTGGATGGATTTGTGTATTATTCAAAGGTAGAATTAGACTTGGACCCTCAAGGTTTATCCTATTCCCTCAATTGATGACCCTAAAATTTTAGTTTTGAACATTTTAGCCAATAAGATTGACACTAGGGTTAGGATTACTGTAAATTGTTGAAGTCCCTAGGCATCCCTAGATGAGCTATATCAATATTGTGATTAGGAGTAGTCGTGGAGCATTCTAAGACAAGATGGTTATTAATGGGATTCCTTTCACTTCTTATCCTCCTCAAGGTTCTCTCTATTTCTCTATTAATAGACACTTGCTCACTAGGTCTCCCTTAGGTGATAGAATGAATGAAAGAATGAATTAAAAATGAAAACCAAATTCAACAATAAAAATACACAAGATACAAAAACAAAAACACCTAAAGTTGGTTCTACAAAGAAAAGACTCAAAAATGGAAACACATACAAGCAAGCAAATGACTCACAAACAAAGAAAAAGTGAAAAGTAATATTTTGTTTTCTAAAATTAAAGAAAAACACAAAATTCATTCAATAGGGATTGTCATTTGCCTTCAAAATTAAACTAAAACTAACCCTAATACAATATAGGGCCAACTCTACGTCATCTCCCAAAGAATAATTTTAAGTCTAATTTAAAAGTTATCTACTAAAATAAATCACTTAAAATTTGAAGTTGATTAACTAATTGCTAACCTATTTATCTAGTGAATTAAGCTAGAAAACTAATCTTAATTTTGAAAGAAGTGGCTTCTCAATTTAAGTAGGAACCCTTGGGTATTACTAATTGAAGAATCCTAGCTTCTAATTAATTATGGCAACTCACTCAACTTCTCTTTCTTAGCTGAAAAATATATTTACTTAAGACAATTATCTTATACACCCTAGCTTCACTAATTCAATTCCCTAAGTGCTATTACAAGCTCTTTAGGTAACCTCACTAGCTTAGCTCAAGAATTAACTAAGTGTTTAGTTAAAATTCATTCCCAATTGCCACTGGCCAAAGCAATACCTAAGTTCAAAACTATGAAAACTCAAGCAACTCATCAAGTATTCACCACACAATTACATGCTAGGCTAATACAAGACATTCACCAAATGAAATCACATATTATAATGCAAAATCACTAAGTGGCAGAAATTTCTAGCAATAAAAGGAAGTGAAATTCAAGTCAACAATCTTGTTTCAACACTAACAATTACAACTAACTATGAAACTAAAGTCAAATTGAACAACAATTAACCATAATCATAGTATTCTAGTGAAATTGAAACAAGATGAAGAAATAATTGAGCTTAGCCAAATGAATATCTCAAAACTCCTCTTCCATCAACTCCTCCCTAGGATTCCATGGAGAATTTAGCTAGAAAACATTAAAACCATCTTACTCCTCTAAGAACTAGACAGCCAAGTAGAGCTTCATGGAAATGGTGGAATCAAGCTTTAAATCTCCTTGCAAGTGGTAGGGATAGGTTCATCCAAGTAAGAGGAATGGAATGATGGTGGTTTTGTGGAGGTTTGATAGCCGAATGTGGAGTTATGGGTGCTGGAAAAATGAAGAAAGTAGAGAGAAGCTGGAGAAAAATGAAGAACAAGATGAACTAGAGAGAGAAATTGTAGAAGATGAGTAAATGAGTGAATGAATATCATTTTAGGAGTTGAATGGCATGCTTATTCTGTTTTGGCATGATTGAAACTTAATTAAAAAAATAGAAAATAAATTAAAATGAAAATGGGAGCCTTGTCACACTTGCAAGGTGGCAACCTCCTATTGGTTTGTAGATGATTCCAATGTGTGTGTAATTTCTCATGTGTCATCCACATCATTTAGGCTGATTTAATATCCCAAAAAAAGCATAAATCATGTGCAAATGCTTAGCCATTGACCTCAAGGAGTGTTGACTTCAATTGCCTAATTGATTCACAAGTCACATGCCACCTATGTCACATAAATCACATAATTCAATTAAACGGCATGTGATATAATAAAATATAATCAACTTTCAGAATTAAATTCATAATTAGAAGGGAGAATTTATTAAATTAACCAAGTTTCAGGCTATACAAAATTATATAAAAATTTTCACATAAAAGCAAACTGAAAACTAGGTCAAACTAAGACACTTAAGAAAGTGTTAACTTTTTTATTTAATTACTCCCCAACTAAAATGAATTTTAAAAATATAATTTCACCACTTATCAACTGGACATAAAATACACTTTATCAAATTTTCTACTACATTTTCTCAAAATTTTATTTTTTTGACGAAAATGCCCCTAATACACTAAATCGAGAAACTTAGACAAAATTCTAAATCCAATGCAATGTGTACACTTGAAGGTGATAAATCATTAATAAAAGGGTCCTAATTGAAAAATAAAAGTAGGAAACAAATGTGTTCTATCATCATTCAAACATTAAATTAACTAAGAAAATGAATTCAGTATAAAAACAAGCAGGGAAAAGGTTTAGAAATGCTCAAGTAGAGTCTTCTTCTAAAACTAGACGTTCTGCAATTATGCTTTCTACCCAGTCTTCTTATGCAATTTCTCTAAAGTAGTTCCCACCTCTAAATGACCTAAAAATTGGAAGGTAATCAGGGAAGATACTAAACAAGAATATAAAAATTTCAAACTTTTTCAATGATCCTATACTTCCCATTTTTTATTTCAAGTTGGGCTATAACAATCTGGAAACAAAATTTCTTCCAAACTGACCCTATAAGCTTTTTCACTTGTTTCCAATAAGTTAGCAGCGAATCACAAAAAAATCAAAACACCAAAAATGAAGCTAAAATACTAGGAGTAATATGAGCTTTAGATGGGAAAATTTAGATAAATACAAAAAAAGTTATGGACACACAAAATTGATAAGAGTCCAGGATTGCTCCAGAATAATGTGTTTCACCATATATGTTTCAAAAAATCACACATATAGTATACGAATTCAAATGATATCAAGCCAATTTTTTAAAAAATATAATATATAAATCTTTTTATGGAAAAATTTTCATAATATTTCTTTGACAAGGCATTTCCCAGTGAATTTTTGAAATTCGCTTAGGAAAGTTAGGAAAATAGTTTTGATAGAGTTGTACCCTTAGTAACCTAAACTTTATAAAGACACCAAAAACCATACAAAAATCATGAAAATCACAAAAAAAAAATACAAAAGCCACATAATGTCAAATTAAACACAAAACAACCCTAAACTAGTTCTTGCATTGCCCTCCCTGACAACAGCACCAAATTTTGGCTAAGGTTGTTGCTACCGTAGCAAAAGAACACTAGGTTACACTAATGTAATACTAGTGTGAACCTAAATCAATCTCTATAAGGAGGCTTAGTTTGACAAGTTATCTTAAACTATGTTACAAGTTAAGAGATGATTGGGACAGATTTGGGTTTAAAAGTAGTTAAGCTAATAAACCTAATTCTAGAGTGAGTGAAATGGGTAAGTGTAAACCTATTAACAGTGTGAACTCCTATATAGAATTGGTCACCAATCTTTGTTTGGTTATAACCTAGTTAGTTTGGTCTCCTCTCTCTTCTCTTTGGTTTTAGTCACCTAGTTATATTAACTAAGACTTAGCTAACACCTTGACCAATCCTAATCTAAGATTATAGTCCTAGAATAAGCCATAGGAAAGCTAGCATTAAGCATAATCAAAGTGTTATAAACATGAGTCAATTAGGTCAAGCATACTTTAATGGAATCAACATGCTCAAGATAATATGTTAAACTCATCAAGCTAACCAAAATTATGATCTAGTCTTGAAGAGGCCGAAATTAGTGCTTGAGAAAACAACACTCAAATTGCAACAATCATCTCTCAATCACATTTATCATCACTTGAAATTACAAGATTAAAGAGTCATACAAATTTATAATTTTAGAGAGAAAAGTAGAGAGAGAAATTTAAATTTAACTAGAAAATAATACAGACTCAAGGTTTTTTTCCTCCACATAGTAGCTCCTTCAAGAACGTAGCATTGCATCTTTAAGTGATCACTAAGTTGAAGCTCTAAAATCATAGCC